ATGAAATGCTCACCTCGCAATCCTTCGTGCTATCCGTCATCCCTATCATCGCTCCGATTTTAATTTCACTTTTTCTTTTATGCTTTCTTATATTGCTTTTTTTCGTGCTACAACATGCAAAAACAAATAAATTATTAATTACAATTAACTGTGGTTACAATTAATTACTAGAATAGCAATCGCGCTGCTTTATTATACTTTATTCAACAGTCTCGACGTTAATCACACTTAACGCGTATTTAATCATGTTACTATTGTAACTACTGTTAATAATGGAAAAATCGAGGCATTCGAAATTACAGTTTAATACCCGTGCTATTTCATAAATAAAACGAGAAATGAATTGCATTTAATTATAAAGCTCGTCTGCGCGATCAATTTCACGCCAAAAGCTATGTGACGACCCAGGGATAACGTCGCGACGATGCTATAATACATGTTTTGGTTTCCAATTGAACAAGTACTGCGAAATGCACGTTTGATTAAATTATTAACGTACAATTATCAAAATCTATTATGCAATATTTCAGTGAAAAAGTTAGTAAATAAATGCAAGTTTCACCTATTAAATGAGTAACGATGCCACCTCATCCGGAGCTAATCTATCCCGGAGCTGTTGCGTCCTGTAAATGAAACGTGTCGCGTTGGATAGCGAGGATTTCGTTTCTTGCGCAGACTGCAAGCAACTTCACGCATCAAAAGTGACGCGGAGCGACGACGACGCTACGCGTCCCACTTTTCGCGTTTATACATTTTCCGTGCACATTTCGAGCATAAATAATATACGCGCATTGCATTGTAATAGAATATTGATTATGTTTATACCGTGCATTTAGGACACGACCAATATAATAAGTGTCATTTATCCTGTAGGTTAAACAAAGATACTTATCATAAATGTAGCTACTATGACTAGATATACTGGCTATGACAAGATATTCGCGACATTCGTAATAAGTTGCTTTATCAATTATTCACGCAATACACCTTCAGTCGGATAAATATTAAAATATGCGTTTTAATAATTATATATTTAATAGTAATATATGAGCGCGAAATTGATATTTCGTGTCAGTTGAGTATTGCAAATGAGGAAAGTACAATGATAAAAGTTTTTTTTTAACCAATTAAACGCTACGCTGAAAGTATTTTTCGCAATAATCGTTCCGTAGAATCAAAAGTAATAAGGCCGCATAAATTTTGACGATGCTAAAGTTAACTGCGCGCAAAAAAAACCTAACACGGTATCGACGCCACGGACGAAACGCTTGTCACTTGTTACTTGTCTCGTCGATCGTCTTATGTCCGCCGCGATCACATCAAGATGGCGAAGTAGCGTCGTTTTTCGCGTGCGGTCAACTTCATGCATCATCAAAATTAACGCGGCGTATTATCTTCGATTCAACCAAACGAATATATTGCAAAAAATACTTTCGGTCGAACAATCAATATACTATTAGCTCTACGTTACACGATATTTAAAATGTTATAGGAAATTTACGGCCGCGAAAACAGCGGTATTAATAATTACATACATATTAATAACGTTAAGTATTTTATTTACACGTAAGACATGTTAAAACTGTTCGAGAACTAAAAGCGATCGGTTCTTAAACATTTCTCGCGTCGCGTAAAAGTATCAGTAATTTGACAATTTATGTTACCTTGTTAGTATAATTCAAATGCGCAATCCTCTTGAGCCGTTTTCCGTCGTTTTATTATTCTCTACAGGAACTAAAACACTTCTGGAGATCAGGATACTTCTGGAGGAAAGGTCCACAATTGAATCGAAGTGAAGGTTGCGAGATATTTCAACGTAATATTACAGGACACAATCCTATCTCCCGGTCGAATCACAAAGTCTCGAGATCGAGAATTACACGTTATTTATAGGAGTCGCGAAACCTCGAACCCCACCACTCTCAAGCCAGCCAATGAGCACGAGTCTCGCTGCGGGTGCTGTATCCGAGCGCTTATTGGATCGCGCTAGCTTTCAGATAAGATATATAAACGCTACATGCAAAAAATTTCACTCTCTTTTGGAATTTGGGATCGTGCGTTTCGTGAGACCGGAGAATCTTGTACGTATTCAGAACACACTTTTACGATGTTAGAACGTGTATTTAACACATAATTAAAACATATTTATCATTGAAAGCACGTTCTGAATACGAAAATTATATTCTTTCTGAAAATAAAAAATACCTAGACTAAAATATGGCTATCGAAGAGACACAGCACGAAAGAAAAATTGATCTTATAAAATAATAAAGCAATTATAATTTATATTATACTTTTTAAAGCAATTTAGTGCATATAATTTAACACTACAATTTAGTACGGACTCGCACCACATTTATTTACGATATCGTGATTTTATCCCTAATACATAGCTATGTAGTTCCTATATCGAAAATATATATATACTGGCGCTAATGTACGGACGATTTCGACGGTCCTATATAAAATCAGATTCTTTTTGGATCCACGTGACACTCGGTTGGTGCTGTTTGGTTAGTATCATTTAGTATCGGCATTATTTTTGTAGGTTAAATTGAAATTACTCGATATATTCGTTATATCGATCATTATTTCAATCATTATAGTATTGTGATTGTATAAATAATCACAATATGGTTGTATTTACTTGCAACTATTGCGGCGATTCATTAAGGAAGCCCAAAGTAGCTATACATTATCAGCAGAAATGCCGGAATTCGCCCTTCCTAACCTGCGTGGACTGCCTAAAGGATTTTCGGTAAGAATTTAATTGAAAGAAGTAACTCTTTTTAATGTAGAGGTAATCTCAGATATTTTTGAAATATATTTTTCTGATCTGAAATTTATTTTACGGATCTTGAAGTGCAGAAATAAAAAAAATTGTAGAAATACCTGAAATAGAATTTTCTTATCATTTGAATATCATGTTCGATATACTATTAAATTTAAAAAAAAATAAGGATATACTTTGCTAAGTATTTAATAAGTTTCCAATATTCAGTCAGCTGATATTAATAATCATATTAATATTTTTAACTTTAAGAAGTGACGAATACGTTACACATACTAAATGTATAACTGAAGCTGAAAGATATGGCGCAAAAGATTATGTTCCAAAACCTAATGCAAATAAGGGCGAGCGCAAACAGCAAGAATGGATTAACGTTGTTAATAACTTGCTGACTGGGACAGTGGAATTATCACACTTAGAGAGGAACTTTCTGAATACCTTGTCAAAATATGAAAATATACCAAGAAAGAAGGCTAAATTTCTTAACTTTGTGCACAATGCAATAGGCAATCGTGTAAATGCAGCAATTGTGGAAAGCGTTTGGAGCAAAATGGAGAATGCACACAAGCAGAGTCAACAAGTGATTACAAAGGTTCCAGAAGATCCTATACAAAATCAGGGGCAGAATAAAAGTAAATAATCTTCTTATAATAAATTTGTTTATTTAATGAAAGAATTTCTTATGGCTGTGTCAAAATTCACTGCCAGTGCTAAAGATCTATAATTTACATTACATGCACTATAATTTTTAGCACTGAGAGTGAATTTTGGAATACATCTTTTGTAATAGATCTATTTTCTATCGTTGCATTGAATTATATTAAAATTTTTTATGTCGCTTTTGCCAAATTTTTGATATATCTATTTTATTTTAACTATTTTCCTTCTACAAGACACAATCGATACAAGTGTCGTTCCATCGAGTTTTCATTTAGTGACACAAGTTGACACAAATGTATCTCTCTTGATATTCCACAAGTAAAGATAAAACGATACTTGTGTCGACTTGTATCATGAAATGGAAAGGTCTTTTTGTTATTTATTGATTGTCAAAAAAGATAGAACAATATTTGAGTCGACTGTATCCTCTGAAAGGAAAACAGTCTTTATATTTAAATATAAGTATATTCGATTTCATCTACAAAGAATAGACTTAATATGAATTATATAAGAACGAGTAAGTCTGTTTTTTTAGCTTCTTGCATGGTTTATTTTTTTCTTTTTTTTTTCTTCAAAAAAGTGGAGGAAAAAGGAAAAAAGATAAACCATGCAAGAAGTTCACCTAAAAGAAAGATTTAGTATTATATATAAGGATTTATAAAATACATAAGTCAAATATTTATTCTTCTTTATAGATGAGATGACATGTATCCAAAATATAGATTCTAATAACTCGTTTGACAATCAGAATCTCGCTGAAAATCAAAATAATGAAAATATATGCAAAGAAAATAATTCTGTGAATCATCAAGATGGAAGTGACGAAGCATGTGGGATAACCAACGGTTACCTACATGAGAAACAAAGTAAATCTAAAAAACGGAAATTGGAATCAATCAACATTCAATCAGAGGAAGATCAAATAGTTGCAAAAATTAGTAAACAATCTAGTTTGGATAACAGAAGTAACGTTGCTATGTTCCATTGGAAAAAAACTATTTTAGACGTTTTACAACATAAAGGTGAAATTCCTTTAAAAAAACTGCAAACTAAGATTATGAGAAAATATATATGTTACGTTTTTAGCTTAAGTGATATCTTCAAATTGTCTGAATATGACAAAGCTATTGCAAAGTTTTGCAAAACAATAGAAAAGTTAGAAAAATCATCTGCAATATGTATTTCAGAAAATAAAGTAAAATTACTTTAGTTATATTTATCTTTATACAAAGTCGGAAAATACAAAGTAGATGTTATATAATAAACATAAAAAATACATTTCACTTTATCAACAGTTTTTATCAACACATTATTAACAGTTTTCCTGAAATTTTTTAGTAAACGTATAAATTAATGCTAGAGTCTTTTATCTATATCAAATTTTTGTTTTTTTATCATTCATAAATTTCATAATTATGTGTGGATGTATAAAAGTTTATAATAAAATTACTATCATTTCATTTATTATATAAAAGTCTACTTTTTTTAATACATAGTTTATGATAAATATTTATATTTCTTACAATAAATTCTTAAATTAAGACAGCTGTTGGAAGATATGTGATTTTATTACCTACATGAGCACATATATTGATATTTTTTAAAACACGAAAGTTTTATAAACAGATTTTAATATATACAACCTTAATTTTTTTTTTTAATACATTGACGTCAAGTTATTCTTGATTAATGTGAATCGGATGGAAAGTCATGTAAGAATTTTTCGGAATACCAAGCATGATCGCTCATAGTTGCTAAAAGACCTTTTGTAAGTACTTTGGCGTCATTATTTCCAAAATAGATTGGTTGTTGATCGTATAACTGTGTCACTGTTCCTCCTAAAGCACTACAAGAAATATAAGAAATAAATACATATAACAAATAAATACTATGTAGTATTAAAATACTTAGATAGCAATACCTAAGAATTGCAGTGCCTGCACATATATCCCATTTCTTGATAGCAGTTGTATGAACGTACGCTGTCGCATTACCAGCAGCTACCTCCAAAAATTTGTATCCTAAAATAAAATGTCTTTTATATTTGTGTATTTTATATAAAATTCCTAATGACAAAAATTGAAGATATGGAAAGAATGTGGCTGAATAATGAAAAATTAAAAACAATGAGGAAATTAAAATGAATGATAGAAAAATACGCATCATGTGCAAATTATCTTCACTAATCACAAGTCTTTAATAGCGAATTATAGAAATAAAATGGTATTGAAAAAACTTTTCACCTGCACCAGCAGCAGAAATAATTTTAGCGTTGTCGCCAAAGACAATTTTAGATGTATTTTTTACTTGTCCAGCGTGTGAAAGAGATACAATTAAAATAGGTGTTTTATTGTCTTTTACCTGTTCAACAAAGATTAGCTAAATAATTTTTCAAAATTGATCATAACTTTTTTTGTTAAATTACTTGAATTCAAAAATTACCTTGGGCAAATTTTTCAAGTTTCTTGATACGCCATGATTGCTCCATGTCCAGAATAAACTGTAATTCTGTTTTGTCTCAAACGGTTTATATATAACACCAATAATTGGTTGTCCTTTGATGGCTATGCATACCATAGTAGATACATATTGCAGTAAATTTTCTAAAAACATAAGGCATCATGCAAAAACTGTCAAATTTGATTTAAGAAGCTACATCAAGCAATAAATATAAAATGTTCCAGAACCACTGAATATCTTTCTAATTTATTCAAAAAGCTTTGTGTCTAACATTTGAAAAAAAAAGAATGGATGAATCTAGAACAAGGATTTGGAACAAGGATCTGGAACATCTGGTACAAAGTTTTGATATTTTAATGGTTTTTCAAGTTTTCAATTATAAGTCAAATTACTGCATCTACATATTAAATTATTTATTAAGGAATAAGCTTTACCCGCAACATCTTAATATTTCTGAGATTGTTCATATAGATCTTATATTATTATGGAACTGGACATGATTATCTGTATTATATTAGGCCCAAAAAATTATTTCTATTGTTTGATCTCCTGAAAACAATCGATGCTTCTTCAACATCTAGCCACAAACAATCGCGAAAATATTAATTTCAAATTGCAATTGCAGGTAATATATTTTCTTTGTACTTCATTGTTTATAAATCTAATCTTTGATTAGAATATCTTTCTTGTGAAATTTGACCAATTTATTGATTGTAACATGAATATGTTTAAACATAAAAATGCACAAATATTGGTCTAAAAATAACTTCTTGCCATAAATGACCTGAAAAGTAATTTTGTTAGAAGCACTGGAATTTATAATGGCAAAAATGTATCTTTACCTGTAAATTCTTTGGTGGCATCCAGAGGATCTATCCAGATTGTTACATCATTAACATTTACAATATCGTCACTTATATCGTAACCTTCAATACTTTTAACAGAATTCTTAATGTCTTCAACTACAATTTTATCACAATCTTGCGATGTTTCTTCTGATATCACAGTAATCCCTGGAAATGCTTCTGTCAAAGATCGATACATAGCACAGTGAGATCTATAATCTGCTGCTGTTACTGGATCATTTACGCCTTTAAGGGAAATATAGAAGAAAAATTATTATACATCACTGTTTTATATCAAAGTCCATTGAATTAGAAAAACAGATTGTACAATATAAAAACATAATTCAAGAAATAGAAACATTATGGACTTATTTAATGTATTATCACGTACAATTACATATCAAATAGTTACCTTCCTTCGTCTGACCTTTGCTCTCTATTTTGAATTTAGTCTGATCATGCACTGCTACTACTTGCAGTCCCCCAATCTCTGCCGCTCTTATAGCAGCAGCGAGAAGCTGCTTCAGAGATACATCTTTATCGTTCCCACGCCGATTCGTACAGAAGTAGATGATGCCTAGAAGTACGAGCGCGCACAAAAGTAGCTTTTGCGTACGCACGCTCATTCCGCCGTTTACTGGCGTATTAACTAGTGTGACTAGTTGTGACAGCAAGATTTATAGTGTGACTTTGCAAGCCTTCAATATGATTACAGGAAGCCTGTAAAAATAAACACATGATGTAACGCATAATTTTATATATATATATATATATATATATATATATATACACATGCATATGTATGTGTATGTATGCATACAAAAGCATAAAATCAATGCTTGTTAAATAAAAAAAAAATCAATGCTTACGAAACTTACTAATTGCATATATATATATATATTAGTAAGTTTATACAACTATTGTATAACTTCATTAATAAAAATATTAAAAGACAAACGCTTTTCTCCACTGTAACATTGACACGAGACAATTTATTCCTAACCTCTTTTATTGTATGAGCATATACGAGGTTTAAAGAGATAATGTTAATACAATGATTTACAATAAATTTATTTTAGATATTGTTCCACATGGACTCTTTTTCCTGCAGAATGAGAAAATCAAGAAGTTTCCAAAATGTGAATGTCCTTTTTTAGTCAATTTTCACGGATAATTAATCATTAAAGAAGAAGACATATTTATATTCTCGCTATTCTTGATCATAGTAATTTGCAGGAGATAAACAAGAAACAAAACAAGGACTATTTACTTTGGTTGCACTTTTTACACTTCGTTTACATTTCTTTTTTCTTTCTCTCCCTAAACATGAATCTATGTCGGTTATTTAAATTCAGAAAATGTGATAGCTAAAATGATCGGACCAACATCGTATTCGCTTAAAAACTGGACATAATAGCTCATAAATGTAACATGTGCTCTCTGCATTCTTATCCTATTCTAAATATTTGTTACTCTAAATAAATCATATTATATATATTTTTAAAATAGGTAAATTTATTAAATTTATTTTACATACAAATTCTAATATTGATATATATATATATATACGATCTGTTTATTTTTAAAATTCATGATCTAACGATGTTTTGCAAATTTTTCAATGGAAAACAAGTTTCCCATATCTACTTCTGAATTTCTTCCCTCGACATTTCCTATGCCTTTTTCTGAATTTTTTCCTTTTCCTACTTTTCAAGTTTTGATTTATATAACCCTTGAGATTTAAGATTACTGTGAGATAAAGAGAGAGATGGAGAAGCGATTTGTGAATTGTTCGAGAATCGACCAAGCTGTGAATACATGAAGGAAATTTTCGGAAGGGGAAAAAGGGAAGAAGGGGTAGAGAAAAGAAGCGACAAAGTGGACTTACCGAAGAAAAAGTTAGATGAGAAGAAGATGCATTGATATACCTAACACCACGTGTTCGATTTCTCTCTTCCTCTCTCTATCACGCGTCTTCAAAATGCGCAATTGCGTTCTCGCGTTCTGCTGGAACAGAAATCCATTATGTTTGTACACACCCACATATATATATTATACACGATGTGCACATACACATGTAGATCTATTAAAGGGAGATACCTTCTGCGCAACATGCGCGCGTCTTTCGGAGATGGATCTGATGAATCAGATGGATGAGGAATCAGAAGGGACAGGAGGCTGGAAACTCTGGAAAGGTGAGAAGCATAGGAGGAACCGAATAATTAAAGGAAGAATGCATCGAAATCTCGACTTTCAGGACGAGGATTCAATTTCGATTCGAAATATGTTTTGACCCACTGAAAAGAGACGTGCAAAATTCTCTTGAAAGTCTATATTTGTATTTCTGCGTCATCGCAGTGAAATTAAAATTCGTTGCAGATATTTTTCTGTAATGAATTAGTCTCGCTATCCTTTCGGTTATCTTATTCTCTTTTTGATTGTCTTTCACCCTCCTCCATTCTTTTTTCTCGAATCGCTCTGAGTCGCTTCCCGCTAAAACTAAACGTTAGCTAACATAGAAGGGGTGAGACAAGGTGCCAGCCACGGTGGCCACGCGAGCGCCTTCGTGAACTCCGGTTGGCGCGCGAAGCTGCGTGCGGGCAAAACAAACGCGGTTCGCTACTTTTGTTTGTCGAACATTGTCAGACTCGACTGTGGAGTAGTCGAGTCTTTAATTGCTACGAAAACTTGTGAACGCTGCCGCGTTGTACGGAAAAGAAACGAGACGAGAAGACCAGAACCTTGGTCGGTGGAAAACGACCGATACTCAGAATCTCCCCCACCTTGTCCTAAAGTAGAACATTCTGGGAACCGTGCAGACGGTGCAGTGTTGCATTGCTTACAGACCTTACAGTACAGATACTACGCAACATAGTACATTTGTACTCCGGACGGAATCGCTTCCCGATTTGTGACGCGGGAGAGAATTGCTTGTTCCTTCTCTCTCTCTCTCTCTCTCTCTCTCTACCTCTCTTCCACTCCCTCTTCTCTGTTAGGAAAACGCCGCAGTAAGCTTCGGAGTGTCGGACATATTCGCCCTCCTGGCAACGAAAACTCGGTATCCAGGTTGTGGAAGTCAGCACGAACAAAACCTATTTGGAAGTGGCCGAGAAGAAGAGTCGCGCCGATTCGCGCGCGCGGCGTGAGATGAATGGTGATCGGTAATCGTACTGTTGTGTGGAAGGCAGGTAAAAGAAAGGAGACAGACGCAACGAGATGGCGACCTCGAATGTGACCTTCCAGAGAATGTTGAAGGCGTTGCGAGATAATAATAATACCAGGGACAAGCGCGATGCTTTGCTCTATATTACCAGGTAAAATTATCGCGAACATGCTCTGAGAGGATAACGTAACCAAGTATCGCGATGAGATCCCCATGTTTGACACTCGAGATGAACGTTAGATTAGGATAAGCGAGGCAATAATCATTCAGTTAATTGTAAAGATTATGGATATCGGGTCTGATTCCGATTGCTTACCTTTCAAAAAATACAGTGACACGAGTGTCGTTTTGTCTTTGTTATTTATTTAGTATCACAAGAAGATAACATTTAATATGTCATTTGTGTCGACGTCTCCAAAAAAAGCAATCTTTATTATATTATATTTTTTTGCATCTTGTTTCATCTCGTGTTAATCAGGATTCGAAAGAAAAAGGAAAAAATTGCGAGAAAATATATATGAAAGAGGAAGAAAAACATACAGAAAGATTTATTAACAATGTCTTTTTCTCATGTTGTAAATTTAACTATCTTATAGAATGAATTTTGAATAAATATAAAATTGAAAAATTTAGATTTTTAATGTTGTTAATGTTCACTATAAATTTACCAAGGAAGATCTGTTTGATTTAGTATAAGATCACGAATGGAATGCAATAGCATTGCATTACTTAGAAATATATATTATGTACATTATATATACATTTGTATTATTGAATAAAGATATTGAGTATATTTGCGTGTGTGTATGTAAACAAATATTTTCCTTGATGTCTTGCAATAAAGACTCTATGTTTGTCTTATAGTCAAGCTAGAAAATTAGAGACATGTGGTATTATTAAAGAAGAACGGTACAAGGATTTATTAAAGCTGGTTATAGAATCGTTCACAAAGAGCGATGGAACCTTTCAAATTGAAGCATTGGCGGCATTCAATGCCATTATGCATGAATTTCGTACACATTCTTTACATCTTTTTGAATCAATGCTACAGACCGACTTAAAAACGAGGTTTGTTTGATTAAATTTGTTATAAAAATTTATACACTCTAAATAATATAACAAAGCACTAGTTCTCCCCCTTGATTTTAGATTAAAAATATTCAAACTGTTGGAGGTATTAGATGACAATGCTATTTCTGCAGCTGCTAATGACGGACAAGCTCTAAATTTTTTTAAGAGCTGCTTGATTAATGTACAGCCTACTTTAATGGAATGGTTAACACCAACAGCATGTGTGGATAACTTGCAAATGTTGACAAAGATTGAACAACAGCTTTTATCGGATGAACAAAAGCTAGAAGAAGAAGTAAACTATAGTGCACTTGCTCTTTTGAGAAGATTGTACAGAATGGCTTCTATAACATTTGATCAAAGTGTTCAAAAGGTATAAATATGCACAATTGTGTCATGAACAATTTTTCAAGTTACATTTAGGATTGGAAAATTTTTGGATTTTGGATTTGTTTTTTTTTTTAGTTTGATACATTACTGATGGATAAGGTTGTAACATTGGCCTATATGGGACACAAGCGCCAGCGTGGTCCCGCTTTGAAACTTTTGCAACAAGCTCTTACAACAAATTCGTCAGCTCATATTCGTAAAGAATATCCTGATGTATGGACACAATATAAAACGAATTTACAATCTGCATATTACAAACGCATGTTGCTGTTAGTAGCGGCATGTGAACTGGATTGGACTACACAATGGAACACTACTATCCAGTTCCTTGGCACAGATCTTCATCGTGGTGCCAATCTTATAAATAATTTACTGAGTGTCGAGGAAAAGGCCTTCAAGTCTACTGATCCTATTATACGCAGGTGAAACTGCAGTTCTACAATTAAATCTTAATTTTTGATTATCTATGACAAACATCGATTTTTTTATTATATTGCAGACAAGCTTTCCTTTCGTGGAGATTGTTGATTGACAATTTCGCTTTAGATCATCAAGAACTTGCTACTGCTAGAAGAATAAAATTACTCTGTATTCCATTAAATGCAAAGAATAGTAAAACTGAATTAATTGCATTGACAAAACTAGAAGTTTGGTGGCATTTAATTGTTAAATTGTATAGAGATATTGAGAAATTTGCTACTCCCGTTATCACACAATTTTTAAATTATTGCTTTGGACCACTTGGGGATACACCACTGCTTTCTTCCAAATTTGACGTTGTTGCTTCTCCAGGCAAAAGATTTTTTAAAACAAAAATGGTTGCTGTGGATGCTTTGGGTCAATTACTTGTCGCAAAGGAAGATCTTGTTTCAGTTTGCTCTCCAATGTTAGAAGAAAGACTTCCTCATGCTATATCTTATGATGTGTTTCGAGAATGTTCCAAAAGCATTATTCATAGTATAGCAGAGGCTCTGCTCATTCTTGGCCAAATTACAGATAAAGAAATGAAATATCGTTTTCAGCTTGGTAAAACGTTATGGACAAGTTTGATGATATATATACGAACTGTTAAACTTACAACAAAGGTTAATTAATATATACTTAACTTTCTTGTTCTTGTGACACAAAACACATGTATATAAAATAGGAATTTTATTATTACTATTATTTTACTGAATTTTACAGGACCATTTGTATAGAGATGTGATAGTAGTTGTAACTGAATTGGGAAACCATATAGATAAACTCATGGTGAAAAATATGATATTTGATGTAGTTTTGCCAAGTCTTAATTGCATTATCGAGAAAACTGAATTTCATGATAATGCATTGCCAGAACTGGTATTAAAATTATTAACGTCGCCAATACTCGACGAAGTGTTGTCACACATCTTATTCAAGTAACTTAAATTAATTGTCAATATGTTTATATGTAGTATTTTATATTATATAAAACATTTACAAATCCGTATTATAGGAATCAAGACAGTAATACAATCAAGTGCCTTCTGGAGCGATGTGTTAGTTCAGAATTTTCATATTCCTCAGGTGTGCTTGGGTTTCTGGAAACAATAATGGAAAATTTGAAATCAGTATATATTAACAAAAAGTAAGTTTAAATAATTTTAATAATATATTTAATTGTTTAATTAACAATGTGTTTCAGGAGTACTAAAGAATCAGTTTATATAGATTTATGGTGTATAATAGCAGAAATTTTTACAAAATACATAAGAAGCACTGAAATCAATGGTGAGGATAACTTTAAAATTATGTTATCAGTTTTATCATTTCCTGTATATCTGGATGATATGACGCAGGTTTGTATAATTTTAAATATATTTCCTTTTAGTACTATACATTTATTTGCTGAAAACTGCTTTTTATATATTAATAGGCTCAAACTAATCAATCAGTAATAGTGTGGAAAACTATGTACAAAGAAGTCGAATTGCATTCGGATTTGGTAACTACAATGAAACCAAATAAAATCTTACTCGATACTGCAAACATGATGCGGAATTGTTTAAGTACAAACACAAAATGTTGTACTTTTATTACAAACTGCTTAGACATCTTATTGGGCACTATTAATTACGAGTCTTTATTGAGTATGTAGAATAAATTGTTATAATTTTATATAAAACGCTAATATTAATGCTCAAAACATGGTAATATATATTTTTGCATAATTTATGTTTTAGCTCAAGATGAAATTCCATCCATTTTACTATTAATAACAGATCTCATAACAGATTCTATTAATGTAAACACTCGTAACACTGTAATCGCCCTAAAAGCATTAACAGCTTTACTTAGTACCGTATATGGACATAGTCTGCAAAAAATAACGTCATATCTGTATAGTTGTAAATCAGTGATGGAACTTATAC